CGCTGCGCCCGCGCGGCGGCTCCCCGCTCCGGCCCGGGAACCAGGAAGGCCGGCCGGGGTGCGAGACGGGCCTAGGGGGACAGGAAGCGGGGGAGGCCGCCTCCCTGCTCACCCGGTCCCACGCGACCCCGGGCCTCCACTTCCCGCGCGGACACTCGTGGGGAGGCCGTCCGCGCCTTCTCACCCGTTTTCCTTCCTTCCAGATTTGAGGGTGGCTTTGAAAACGGCTTTTTTCTTTTTTTAATGTTTAACGTTCGTGCTGTAGACTTGCCCAGCTCGAGGGGTGCGGGGGGGGGGAGAATGAAGGTGTAGAGCCCCACCTCCAGGGAGCCCACGCCAACGGAGGCGGGTACCCCGAAAGGCGTCCTGGCGCGCAGATCATGGGGAACGTGACGGGGAGTTCCGAGCCCGCCCTCCCCGTCCTCCCTCCCCAGGAGCCCCTGCTCCCCGGGGGACGGGGACGCGATCGCGCCCCGGGTTTGGAAGGGGGAGCGTGCGGCTCGTGTCCTTTATCACGAGTCATCCGGTTCTGTAGTGTCAACTGCACGGGGTCCGAGAATGGGGGGGGCCGAAGATCGGGAAATCCCCGAAGATCGGAGGGGGGGCCGAGGATCAGGGGTGGGGCTCGGGCCTGGAGCCCGCGTGCCCGGATTCCTAAGATCGGCGAGGGCCTCGCCGGGCGGCTGACCTCGACAACGTGCAGCTCGCTCGGAAACCCGGCGTCGGTGGCCTTGGCCCCGGGAGGGCGGCAGGTTCGTTTACCCCGGCCCCGGAGTCCCGCCCTCCGACGCCCCCGCCCCCGAAGGCCCCGCCCCCGACGGCTCAGGTTCCCACCCGAGATTAGGTGAATTGATTGGGGGTGGAGGAGAGCGACGGCGCGGACCGCTCGCTCCCCACCGGCTCCCCCCGCCTCCGCCGGCGCCGCTTCGGGGTGCCTGGTCCCCTAGACCAGGGGCACCGCGCGTTTCCCGGGCGGTGCATGCACCCCAGACTCGAATGTCCTGAGGCAGGACTTTGGGTGAGCGGAACGGAAAGCGCTTCCTCCCCGGGACTCGGTTTCCGAGGTTGGGTCCTCTGGGTCGGGAGTGCCTCGCCTCCGTGCCTGAGGCTGCCGTACCCGAGGCTTCGGGGGTCGTTCCCCCCCTCCACAAGGGGCACGAGCGAGGTTCGCGTGCCGTCGTCTGGACGCGATCCCTGCCAGGGGACAAGGTCTGGTCCTCGGCCGCCGGTCCCCCGCCCTCCTCTCAAGCCCTCCCCTTTGTCTGGTCGAATGCGTCCCGCTCCTCAGCCCCGGTCTACGTCTGCGAGGTCCGGGGCTCTTCGCGCTTTCCGCCTCGCCGCCTCCGAGGCACCCCTGGCGTCCAGGCGAATCCGCGCGCCCCAGCTCCACAGCCGGGGTAACGGACCGCCGGGGATAGTGTGAGCGCCGAGCTTGCGAGGGCCGGGCCGGGGGAGGAGCTGGGCCCCGGGACGG